AGCCTCTAGTTTAGCGACATAATCCTTTTTATCCATTAGTACTATTCCGGACCCTTTGTCCGGTCTGGTTAGTATGATGTTTTCCCTTCTTTTGAGTTCTCATAGGCTATCAAGATGGACCTTTTTTAAGGGTCCTTTGTTTGTTGGGGCCTTTCTTAAGTACTGATGGCAGCAGTTAACCAGTGTAGACTTGAGATAATCCACTTCTCTAGACTTTTCCGCAGTGGCCAATTGGCGCAAAACTCAGAAATAATTGATTTTTGTACATGCTCAAAATTTCCTTGTTTGCAATGTTAAGGCCTTGAAGAAGGGTTGCCGAAAAGCATGCTTTGCCTGAAAAATTGACTTTATAAGTTAAAAATGGGAATATTTACCTGACTTGGAAGTGTTAACCGCCTGTGGGCCTTTGACCACTGCAAAATACTAATTTAATAAAATGCTCCCATTAAGGTTTCTGTCCAGCGGTAAGGTGGTCAAGGTTATGTAAACAAAGCCGTTTGAATAGATTCATTGCAGTTTCTGTATAAAAACGTTTAAAGATGCGCAAATTGTTAAAAATAGCATTTAAGGATATTCACTATCAGATTTTTTTTATAACAGGGTGGGCGGTCTTCCTAAACCGTTGGAGAAAAGTAAGAATATATACATGTACAAATTCATCATGTTTTTGTGGACACAGTAATCTAAAATTGTTTTCCAGACAAACCGTTTTATCATGCTAATACTGTACTTCCTTCTTTTGTTACTGTCACACAATACACAGTATTGACAAAATATGTGTTAAATAAAAGCTCAGCCACATGTATCGCCGCCATTCTGTTGCAGCATGGCACAGTTACGAGGGATTTGGCTCATCGGTAGCTCCCATAGCGTTCTCCTGTGCTTTCTAATAGATACTCCAGTTTTATAGTTGCAGCTTTTTAGCTTCCCCAGACGTTAATGTTGTACGTGGAGTACAGAAGTTGGAGCTAGTTTATAGGTGCAGACTGAAAGTTGATATTAATAATTTGGCCCATGTCTATCATCTACAGTGAGGTAACCGCGTAATATTCATTAAATTGCCAACAGGCAGATATTAATATATATATATATATATATATATATATTGTAATCACACAATTCATCATACCGGCAGCGCAGGAACTAGGTAAAAGCTCTTTCGAGCTATTCCTATAAACCTAGATTTAAACTGATTAACCCCAAGCTGACTAGTAATTTCTGAGAAAACAAAAAACAATAGTTCCTTATTTTCTTGTGTATGCGAGAATGAGTGCTTACGTCCCTGACGACTGAGGCAACATAGGTGGCCTTATCTCTATTTTGGGATGATGACTGTCGTAAAGATACCGGTAGAACACGCATTTTCACTTGGACCATCGTCAAGAACTTCGATCTTACTGTTTTTGCCCTGAGCCTCAGAGGCCGCTTCCGTTCAGACTGATATCGAGATTATAGTTTCCTTCCCGTTTCCGGATGACTAGAAATGTGCGTTAGCACTAGCACTTTCGTGTACTTGAGTCATATCTAACTGCGAGTTCGTCAGTGTCTTATCTCAACAAGCCTTTAACAACTTCTTATTTAAACTTTGAGCTAAATTAAGTCAAGCGGTCATGCCTGACCGCTTAAAAGAAAAAATGTCCCTCCCTCTTTTCCAGTTATGCTTAACTATCTAGCTTTCTCTCAGACCAAGTAGACCTGTCATAACACCTAAGACAGACAAGGATTCTTCAAGGTTTGACGTATGTAGTAAAAACATTCTTACAGAAATTTGACCACGCAATAATAACTGCATTTAGTCTTCCTGCCGCCTTTCAAGTCAGTGCAATTAAGTTTCCCGCCTGTAGTGACAGCATTGTCCCCATTGTTAATTCCCTGGTAAAAATAATTCGAAAAACTTCAATCAACACTGGTAACTTTATTGATTTTTCTTTCCCATCTACTCCAGCTGGACAAAATGATTTATGCAACG